GAAGCTGCCTTCACTGTAGGTGGGAACAGCATCTGTGATTACAGTGAGAAATGGGGGACAACTCTGATGTATGGGGACACCTGATGGATGGGGACACTGTTATGGGGACACCTGATGGATGGGGACACTGTCATGGGGACACCTGATGGATGGGGACACTGTCATGGGGACACCTGATGGATGGGGACATTGTCATGGGGACACTGGATGGATGGGGACACTGCCATGGGGACACCTGATGGATGGGGACGCTGCGATGGGGACACCTGATGTATGTAGGCGCTGTGATGGGGGCACTTGATGGATGGGGGCGCTAGGATTGGGATACCTGATGTATGGGGCACTGGGATGGGGACACCTGATGGATGGGGGCGCTGGTATTGGGACACCTGATGGAAGGGGGCGCTGGTATTGGGACACCTGATGGATGGGGGCGCTGTGATGGGGACACCTGATGGATGGGGGCGCTGGGATTGGGACACCTGATGGATGGGGGCGCTGGGATTGGGACACCTGATGGATGGGGGCGCTGGGATTGGGATACCTGATGTATGGGGCACTGGGATGGGGACACCTGATGGATGGGGGCGCTGGTATTGGGACACCTGATGGATGGGGGCGCTGGTATTGGGACACCTGATGGATGGGGGCGCTGTGATGAGGACACCTGATGGGTGGGGGCGCTGGGATTGGGACACCTGATGGATGGGGGCGCTGGGATTGGGACACCTGATGGATGGGGGCACTGGGACTGGAATACCTGATGGATGGGGGCGCTGTGATGGGGCCACCTGATGGATGGGGGCACTGGGATTGGGACACCTGATGGATGGGGGCGCTGGGATTGGGACACCTGATGGATGGGGGCACTGGGACTGGGATACCTGATGGATGGGGGCGCTGTGATGGGGACACCTGATGGATGGGGGCACTGATATTGGGACACCTGATGGATGGGGGCGCTGGGATTGGGACACCTGATGGATGGGGGCACTGGGATTGGGACACCTGATGGATGGGGGCGCTGGGATTGGGACACCTGATGGATGGGGGCGCTGGGATTGGGACACCTGATGGATGGGGGCGCTGTGATAGGGACACCTGATGGATGGGGGCGCTGGGATTGGGACACCTGATGGATGGGGGCGCTGTGATAGGGACACCTGATGGATGGGGGCACTGGGATTGGGACACCTGATGGATGGGGGCGCTGGGATTGGGACACCTGATGGATGGGGGCACTGGGATTGGGATACCTGATGGATGGGGGCGCTGTGATGGGGACACCTGATGGATGGGGGCACTGATATTGGGACACCTGATGGATGGGGGCGCTGGATTGGGACACCTGATGGATGGGGGCTGGGATTGGGACACCTGATGGATGGGGGGCTGGGATTGGGACACCTGATGGATGGGGGCGCTGGGATTGGGACACCTGATGGATGGGGGCGCTGTGATAGGGACACCTGATGGATGGGGGGCGCTGGGATTGGGATACCTGATGGGTGGGAGCGCTGGGATTGGGACGCCTGATGGATTGGGGTGCTGGGATTGAGACACTTGATGGATGGGGGCGCTGGGATTGGGACATCTGATGGATGGGGGCTCTGGGATTGGGGCACCTGATGGATGGTGGTGCTGGGATTGGGACATCTGATAGATGGGGGCTGGGATTGGGATACCTGATGGATGGGGGAGCTGTGATGGGGACACCTGATGGATGGGGGCGCTGGGATTGGGAAAACCTAATGGATGGGGGCGCTGTGATGGGGACACCTGATGGATGGGGGCGCCATGATGGATGGGGGCGTTGTGATGGGGACACATGATGGATGGGGCGTTGTGATAATGACACATGATGGATGGGGGCGTTGTGATGGGGACATGATGGATGGGGGCGTTGTGATAATGACACATGATGGATGGGGGCGTTGTGATAATGACACATGATGGATGGGGGCGTTGTGATGGGGATAGGTGGTTGGATAGATGGAGACATGGATAGATGGATGGATAAATGGGGACATGGATGGATGGAGACATGGATGGATGGAGGGATGGAGACATGAATGAATGGAGACGGATGGATGGATGGAGACATGGATTGATGGAGAGATGGAGACATGGATGGATGGAGGGATGGAGACATGGAGGGATGGATGAATGGATGGAGACATGGCTGGAGGGATGGAGACATGGATGGATGAAGATATGGATGGATGGATGGATGAAGGGATGGGTGGAGACATGGCTGGATGGATGGAGACATGGATTGATGGAGAGATGGAGACATGGATGGATTGATGGATGGATGGAGACATGGATGGATGGATGGATAGATGAAGATATGGATGGATAGATGGATGGATGGATGGATGAAGGGATGGATGGAGACATGGATGGATGGAGATATGGATGGATGGATGGATGAATGGATGGATGGAGATATGGAGACATGGATGGAAGGATGAAGATATGCATGGATGAAGGGATGGATGGAGACATGGATGGATAGATGGATGGGTGAAGACAGGGATGGATGGAGATATGGATGGAGACATGGATGGATGGATGAAGACATGGATGGATGCAGGGATGGAGACATGGAGGGATGGAGAAATGGATGGATGGATTGAGACATGGATGGATGGATTCAGACATGGATGGATGCAGAGATGGAGACATGGATGGATGGAGACATGGAGGGATGGAGACATGGAGGGATGGAGACATGGATGGATGGATGCAGGGATGGAGACATGGAGGGATGGAGAAATGGATGGATGGATTGAGACATGGATGGATGGATGGATGGGAATGAAATGGATGGATGGATTGAGACATGGGATGGATGGATGGATGGAGACATGGATGGATGCAGGGATGGAGATATGGATGGATGGAGACATGGAGGGATGGAGACATGGATGGATGGATGAAGACATGGATGGATGCAGGGATGGAGACATGGAGGGATGGAGAAATGGATGGATGGATTGAGAGATGGATGGATGGATGGAGACATGGATGGATGCAGGGATGGAGACATGGATGGATGGATGAAGACATGGATGGATGCAGGGATGGAGACATGGAGGGATGGAGAAATGGATGGATGGATGGAGACATGGATGGATTCAGGGATGGAGACATGGATTGATGGAGACATGGAGGGATGGAGACATAGATGGATGGATGCAGGGATGGAGACATGGATGGATGGATGGAGACATGGATGGATGGATGAAGACATGGATGGATGCAGGGATGGAGACATGGAGGGATGGAGAAATGGATGGATGGATTGAGACATGGATGGATGGATTCAGACATGGATGGATGCAGAGATGGAGACATGGATGGATGGAGACATGGAGGGATGGAGACATGGAGGGATGGAGACATGGTTGGATGGATTGAGACATGGATGGATGGATGGAGACATGGATGGATGCAGGGATGGAGATATGGATGGATGGAGACATGGAGGGATGGAGACATGGAGGGATGGAGACACATGGATGGATGGATGGATGAAGACATGGATGGATGAAGACATGGATGGATGCAGGGATGGAGACATGGAGGGATGGAGAAATGGATGGATGGATTGAGACATGGATGGATGGAGACATGGATGGATGCAGGGATGGAGACATGGATGGATGGATGAAGACATGGATGGATGCAGGGATGGAGACATGGAGGGATGGAGAAATGGATGGATGGATTGAGACATGGATGGATGGATGGATGGACATGGATGGATTCAGGGATGGAGACATGGATGGATGGGAGAAATGGAGGGATGGAGACATGGAGGGATGGAGACATAGATGGATGGATGCAGGGATGGAGACATGGAGGGATGGAGAAATGGATGGATGGATTGAGACATGGATGGATGGATGGAGACATGGATGGATGGATGGAGACATGGATGGATGCAGGGATGGAGATATGGATGATGGAGACATGGATGAGCTAATTTTTGTTCCCGTTACACTGGATTCATAGTCATCGTCAGAAGGACCTCCTCTATAGTCTTGGACACACATTTTAAACATGGCGCACAACCGGCTTGGAAGACACAGCAGGAAACGTTTGAGGAGATGGAACCTAATGTCCTGGGAGGAATTGGAGGATGACTCCAGAAGTCCAGGTCAGTGTGACCAGTTGCAGTGTTTCCTTCATATCCCAGTAAAGATCTCTCCAAGCTTTCCATTCTGTCGGAGACCCTTCAGCGGAGTCGTGTTCTCCTCATCAGGCTGGGTGTGTGAGATCTTTACAATATAAAATCTGGAAGTCCTTAAGGACAGTAAACGTATCTGGATTCATCGCTGGCCCAGGCCTAGAGAGAGAACCTCTCTGTGTCAGCAACCGATGATTCATAAGAGGATCAATGGACCACTTTTGATCATGTTGGGAAGTTGTCGGAACCCGAGTGCTGTAGGTTCTGTTCTCCTTGTTGACCTACAGAAGAAGAAATACCCGAGGGATCGGTCTTGGAGACGGCTCCAGTTGCTGGAGAGGGAGAGTCCATAGTGGGATTCACTCCTTCAGCCCCTAGAAGCAGATTGGGAAGAATTGTGAGGACCATCCCCAGAGCTACCTGCTCCCGTGATCGGTTTATGTCTACTGTGACCTTTCATGGGATCCTTGGAGTTATCACTCATTTTACGGCCCAATTTCTGTTTTTAGACCATTTTCCTTCCTCCTGATGAAGACTCCTTAAACACTGAAACACGTTGAGTTTTCAAAGGTCTCAAAATCCATCTGAAGACATCTTTGCAGATGGAACATAATTGATCGATCTATGAAGCTGTAGGCTGGTCCACTATATGTGATATGTATGATTTTTTAAATTGTTTAATAACATTTTGTACTTTTTTTATCTCCATGATGTGGTTGTTTAGTACCTAGAGAGTCCCACCCTTCTTCTTCACTCCTTCTTTAGTCTGTGAGTCCCTCCTTTGTAGAGGGATCCCTATGTACAGCATATGACGTACACTATATTGCCCCAAGTATTGTCCCCAGCCCCTCCCAATCATGTGATTCAGATGTTCCAATTCCCTCCCAATCATGTGATTCAAGTGTTTCAATCCCCTCCATATCATGTGATTCAGGTGTTCCAATCCCCTCCAATATCATGTGATTCAGGTGTTCCAATCCCCTCCAATCATGTGATTCAGGTGTTCCAATCCCCCCAAATCATGTGATTCAGGTGTTCCAATCCCCTCCATATCATGTGATTCAGGTGTTCCAATCCCCTCCATATCATGTGATTCAGGTGTTCCAATCCCCTCCATATCATGTGATTTAGGTGTTCAAATCCCCTCCCAATCATGTGATCCAGGTGTTCCAATCCCCCCAAATCATGTGATTCAGGTGTTCCAATCCCCTCCATATCATGTGATTCAGATGGTCCAATCCCCTCCATATCATGTGATTCAGGTGTTCCAATCCCCTCCATATCATGTGATTCAGGTGTTTCAATCCCCTCCATGGACACAGGTGTATACAATCAAGCCCCTAGGCATGCAGACTGCTTCTACAAACATTGGTGAAAGAATGGGTCGCTCTCAGGAGCTCAGTGACTCCAAGCGTGGTCCCGTGATAGGTGGCCACCTGGGCAATAAGTCCATCCGTGACATTTCCTGGCTACTAAATATTCCACGCTCAACTGTTAGTGGGATTATAACAAAGTGGAAGCAACTGGGAACAACAGCCACTCAGCCACCAAGTGGTAGGCCACGTCACATGACAGGGCGGGGTCAGCGCATGCTGAAGCGCACAGTGCGCAGATGTCACCAACTGTCTGCAGAGTCAATAGCTAAAGACCTCCAAACTTGGTGTGGCCTTCAGATGAGCCCAACAACAGTGCGTAGAGAGCTTCATGGAATGGGTTTCCATGGCCGAGCAGCTGCATCCAAGCCTTCCATCACCAAGTGCAATGCAAAGCGTCGGATACCGTGGTGTAAAGCACGCCGCCACTGGACTCTGGAGCAGGGGAGACGTATTCTCTGGAGGGACCAATCACACTTCTCTGTCTGGCAATCTGATGGACGCGTCTGAGTTTGGCGGTGGCCAAGAGAACGGTATTTGCCTGACTGCATTGTGCCAAGTGTCAAGTTTGGTGGAGAGGGGATTATGGTGTGGGGGGGGTGTGTTTCAGGGGGTGGGCTTGGCCCCCTAGTTCCAGTGAAGGGAACTCTTAAGGCAACATTTTGGACAATTTCATGCTCCCAACTTTGTGGGAGGAGTTTGGGGATGGCCCCTTCCTGTTCCAACATAACTACGCTCCAGTGCACAAAGCAAGGTCCATAAAGACATGGAGGAGCCAGTTTGGGGTGGAGGAACTTGACTGTCCTGCACAGAGTCCTGACCTCAACCCCATAGAACACCTTTGGGATGAATTAGAGCGGAGACTGCGAGCATCAGGCCTCCTCCCCCCGACATCAGTGCCTGACCTGACAAATGTGCTTCTGGAAGAATGGTCCAACCTTCCCATAGACACCCTCCTAAACCTTGTGGACGGCCTTCCCAGAAGAGGTGAAGCTGTTATAGCTGCAAAGGGCGGGGCCAACTCAATATTGAACCCTACGGACTAAGACTGGGGGGCCATTAAAGGTCATGTGTGTGGAAAGGGCGGGGCCAACTCAATATTGAACCCTACGGAGTAAGACTGGGGGCCATTAAAGGTCATGTGTGTGGAAAGGGCGGGGCCAACTCAATATTGAACCCTACGGACTAAGACTGGGGGGCCATTAAAGGTCATGTGTGTGCGTGGAAAGGGCGGGGCCAACTCAATATTGAACCCTACGGACTAAGACTGGGGGGCCATTACAGGTCATGTGTGTGGAAATGCCGGCGGCCCAATACTTGGGGCAATATGGTGTATGTTCAGATCCAACAATCTGCCTATATTGGCCTCAGTCTTCGTCTTGGTGAAACTCTCATTGGGATCCCCTGGAGGATGGGGGGGGGACGGAACAAGAACTGAGTTCAGGGTTCAAATCCCATATGGGGCGAAGCTGTGCCGAGGGTCTCCAGTTGAGCTCAGGAACAGCTTCAAGGAATGACTGCTAAGGAAGACGAAATGACCATGTGACCTCATAAGATGTTGCTATTGGAAGATGCGCCACCACTCCACCCCCCATGTTGGGGAAATGATCTGATTGTCCTCAGCAGTGTTCTGTTTATTGGATACTGGATACAGGAAACAATTCTAAGGACAATCTGATCATGTGGTGGCCCATCCCCCAATAACATCACGAGGTCCCAGCCTGTGCTACTTTGTACAACATTGCTCAGGAGGGTGTACTGCAGGGGTCAGGGGTCAGGGGTCACGAGGCACTTCTATTCTTTCTATTCTATTTTTTTTTTTTATTAGAATTTCAGAACATGGCTATATTCTATTTTTTCCATTCTATTCTTTTCTATTCAATTGTCCTTTATTCTATTCCTTTATTTCCCATTCTATTTTATTCTATTCTCTTATTTTCAATCATATTCAGTTTTTTTTACTCTATTCTATTCTTTTATTGTCTAGTCCATTTTTTTTTAAAATTTTCTATTCTGTTTTGTTTTATTCTATTCTATTACTCTATTATTATTATTATTATTATTCAGAAGTTATGGTTGAAAGGAGTAATTATTATAAATAAGTGTATATACATATACAATAATAATAATAATTAATTATTATTATTAATTAATTAATATAATAATAATAATTAATTATTATTATTATTCAGGCATAATTTTGGAAGAAGTTTGGTATTCAAAATATTAATAGTATATATACATTTTTTTTTGTCTTCAAAGGAGTGGTATTATAACTATTAATAGTGTAAATAATAATGATAATAATACATTATTATTATTCAGACATAATGCTTGAACTTATGGGGTATTAAAATAGCAATAGCATATAAAAATATATATTATTAATATTATTATTATTATTCAGATATTATGCTTGAAAGGAGTGCTTATAATAAATATTAAGTGTATGTACAAATAATAATAATAATAATAATAATAATAGCAATATAATAATAATAATAATAATAATAATAATTATTATTATTATTATTAATAATAATAATAATAACAACAATATAATAATAATAATAATAATAATAATTATGACATAATGCTTGGAAGGTGTTGGTATTCTAACTATTTATATATATATACACACAGATTATTATTATTATTTTTTAATAATAATATTGTTTTATTGGACATAATGGTTATATTATTAGTATTTAAAACAACTGCTACTACTAATAATATTGATAATAATAATAATAAGTTATGAATTTGGTGTCCCCTCGAGTGGATTTTCAGCAAAGTGACAGCTTGTAGGAACTCTGGGCCCACTTAGTGAACAAAATACCAGCCCGCCTGGGCTACAGCCTCTGATACCCGGGGCAAAGGTTTGGGTAAGCACTAAACTGACCCTGAAAACGTAAAAAAAAAAAAAGCCGACTACTTCTCCCTTCTAGGCCCCGGGTGTAGAGGTGATCACACTGTCCTTGTCCTTCAGCTGTGGATAGAACTACATTCAGGCCTTCCGCTGGGCTGGTTCTTTTCCAGGCTATGTAGGCCGTCCTTACCCCAGTGGGTTGTAGGCAGTGGAGCTCCTCCTTCAGCTTTCCTCCTTCCTCCAACCTTCAGTCTGGAGGCAGAACCTCCGGGGGTCCCCTCCCAGGCTACACAGCACCACTTTAATCCTCCATCTTCCACCTGACTCCCCTTGCTGGCCAGATTCAGTCATTTATGGCCCATCTGCTACACTGCAAGGGGCTCCTGTCCCCCTGAGATTGAACCAGACTCCCACAAACATGCAGATCACCCCTCCTTACCTCATCCTACTGACATCTTAGAAAAGCTTTCTTCCCAAGCTTCTAGAACTGGGGAGGTACCATTAGGACTGACTCTGTAGAGCTCTCCATCTTAACCTAAAGTAACCCTCTGTCCTTCTCCCCCCCCCCCCTCCTCCTCCTCCTACCTCCTCTCCCTCCCCTCTCCTTCCTACTTCACTCCTCCCCCTCCCCTCCTCTTCTTGTCCTCCTCTTCTTCTCTTACCCAACTCCTCCTCCTCTTCTTCTCCTTCTCCTCTTCTCCTCCTCCTCCTCTTCTTCTTCTCCTCCTCCGCCTCGATTTCCTCCTCCTTCTCGTTTCCTCCTCCGCCTCTTCTTCTCCTCCTCCTCTTCTTCTCCTCCTCTTCTTCTCCTCCTCTTCTCCTTCCTCTTCTTCTCCTCCTCTTCTCCCTCCTCCTCTTCTCCTCTTTTTCTTTTCAACTCTTCTCCTCCTCTTCTCCTCCTCCTCCTTCTCTTCTCCTCCTCCTCTTCTTCTCCTCCTCCTCTTCCTGTTCTTCTCCTCCTCCATTTCTTCTCCTCCTCCTCCTCTTCTCCACACTCCTCCTCCTCTTCCTCCTCCTCCCTCTCCTCCTCCTCCTCCTCCTCCTTTTCTTTTTCTCCTCTTCTCCCTGCTCCTCTTCTTCTTCTCTTCCTCTCCTTTCTTTTTCTCCTCTTCTCCTCCTCCTCCTCTTCTTCTCCCACCTCCTCTTCTTCTTCTCCCTCCTCCTCCTCTCCACCTTCTCTTCTCCTCCTCCACTCCTCCTCCTCCTTTCCTCCTACTCCTCTCCTCCTCCTCCACCTCCTCTTCCTCCTCTCCTCCTCCTCCTTTCCTCCTTTTCCTCCTCTCCTCTTCCTCTCCTCCCTCTTCCTCTCCTCCTCCTCCTCTTCTTCTTCTCCCTCCTCCTCCTCCTCTTCCTGTTCTTCTCCTCCTCTCCTCCTTTCCTCCTCCTCCTCTTCTCCTCCTCCTCTCCTCTTCCTCCCCTCCTCCTCCTCTCCTCCTCCTCCTCTTCTCTTCCTCCTCCTCCTCCCTCCTCCTCCTCCATAAATTTCATACATGGAAGGTGTGGTTATTATAAATATGAATGAATGTGAATATACAGTTATTATGATCAGTACAGATGCGATAGCCTGTGAATGGTTAATAACGAGGAAAATTGTATGCGTTTTGTGCCGCACAGCTAGGATCCTGCTGCCTCGTATTTATTTTGCGCGCGGCTCTCCCGCCTTTATATACCGGTTCTGTCACTTTCAATGCTCTGTCAGTTTCCTGCCCCGCAGTGGGATGGGGGGGAGTAGGGGGGAGGGGTGGAATGGGGGGGGCTTAATTTGGTTTATGCGATATTTTTTTCCAAATGGAGAATCGATTTCCTTCGAATATAGTCGTGCTGTAAATAAATCCATCGAACAGAAGTCAGAGGAGAGATCTGCGGCGGAATGGAAGCCCTTCGGAGGGCGGCGAGGTGCGGCGCGCACACCGCGATTTGTGTGGATGAGCGCGGAATGAGTTCCCGTGGTGACCGATCAGACAGAGAACAATGTCCTCGTGTACCGTCACCCTTCCTCCAAAGGCAAGACCAGCTCAGCGTCTGTCCATCTGCCGCCGTTTCGCCGCCACGCTCGTTCTTGGGCTCTGCGGGGGCCCCCGACGACACGCCTTGCGAATGTACATACTTCGCCGCCGCGCCAACCTCTTGTTTTTTGTTAGAGATTCAATTTCTTGTCTCCAAACATCATAATGTTGCCCGACGCCGGCCTGTGAAAATGTAAATGAGAGCTATTAATGAGAAACAAACGAGTCTCCGCATCGCGGCGTTCACCTTTTGTGATGTTCGCATTAATTGGCTGACTACCCACACAACAGCCGCCTCGAAATGCCACATTTAATCAATATCACTTCCCAACTACAAGTGCCTGTGCTGCCCATGCGCCGGAGATGAAACTGTTCCTTCTGTGATGATATTACATCTGTAAACATTTATGCCGGGTCACACCTCGTGCAGTCTGGATATTAAAGGGGAAATTAACTGGAAATAATGGCATATCAGTGGACGATATCATAGCGGTACCCCACACCCATAGGGGCCGCTGGACTAAACTGGTTCTTCCCAAAGTAATGTAGTTAGCCACTATACACAGGGCAACATTTCCTCCTCCCACTGACACTAATGATGGGGCACTAATTCCCTGTCACTGACACTAATGACTGGGCACTATTCCTCCCACTACGATACCAATGATGGGTGCCACTATTCCTCCCACTGATACACCAATGAATGGGGCACTATTCTCCACGACACCATGATGGTCACTATTCCTCCCACTGACTACCAATGATGGTTGAGCACTATTCCTCCCACTACACCAATGATGTGCACTATTCCTCCACTGACACCAACGATGGAGCACTATTCCTCCCACTGACACCAATGATGGGAGCACATAATTCTCCCACAGCCACCAAAATGATGGGGCACATACCTCCCACTGACACAAATGATGGGCACTATTCCTTCCACTGACACCAATGATGGGGCACTATTCCTCTCCACTGACACCAAATGGGGGCACTAATCCTCCCACTGCACCAATGATCGGGGCACTATTCCTTCCACTGACACCAATGATGTGACACTATCGACCACTGACACCAATGATGGGCACTATTCCTCCCACTGAGACAATGATGGGCACTATCTCAACCCACTTGACACCAATGAAGGGCACAATTCCTTCCACTGACACCAATGATGGGTCACTATTTCATCCCACAGACACCAATGATGGGGCACTATTCTCCCAGTGAAACCAAATGAGTGGGGCCAACATTCCTCCCCAGACACCTAATGAATGCTCACTATACCTCCCCCCTGCCCATCCTAAGACTCTAACACCTTCAAGAGTCCAACGTGGACAACCAATGATGGGGCACATTTACCTATCCGCACACGACCACCAAAGATGTGCTAATACCACCCAACTGAAACGCAATGATGGGCCACTATTTCCTTCCCACGATGACACAATGATGGGGCACAATCCCCTCCCAAAGACACCAATGGATGGGCGCACTATTCCTCCCACTCGATTCCAATGATGGGGCAACTATTCCCTCCACTGACACCAGATGATTGGAGCACTAATCCTCTCCCAACTGACACCAATGATGGGCACTATTCCTCGCCCCAGACATCAATGAATGGGGCACTAATCCTCCCACAGAATACCCAAAGATGGGGGCACTATTCCTCCTACACTGACACCAATGATGGGCACAATTCCTCCCACTGACACCAATGAAAGGACACTAATCCTCCCCACATGACAAACCAATGAATGGGGACACTATTTCCTCCCCACAGACACCAATTATGATGTCACTATTCCTTCCCACAGATACCAATGATGGGGCACTATAACCTCTCCACTGATACCAATTATTGGATCACTATTCGCCTACCACTACTGACACCAATGATGGGGCACTATTATCCTGACACTGACACCAATATGGGACACAATTCTCCCCACTGACACCAATGATACAGGCACTATTCCCTCCCACTGAACCAATGATGGGGGCACTATTCCCCCACTGACACCAATGATGGGGCACTATTCCTCTCCACTGACACCAATGATGGGTCACTATTCCTCCCACTGACACCAATGATCGGGGCGCACTAATTCTTCCCCACGGATAACCAATGATTGGGACTAAAGCCTATTCCCCCCACTGACACCAATGATGGGCAGCTACTTCCACATGATTCCTCCCCACTGATACCAATAGATGGGGCAATGATGGGTCACTGATTCCTCCCACTGGACACCAATGATGGGGCACTTTTCTCCCACGGATACGCAATGATGGGCACAATCTACCCCCCAATGACACCAATGATGGGCACTATTCCCCCACTGATACCGATGATTGGGGCACTATTCCTCGCCCACTGACATCAATGATGGGGCACTAATCCTCCCACTGACACCAATGATGGGGCAGCTAATCCTCCCACTGACACCGAATGATCATGACACTATTCTTTCCACATTGCTACCAATTCTGCACTATTCCTCCCACTGACAACCAATGGGGCACTATTCCTTTCCTCCCACTGACACCAATGAAGGGGACACTATTCCTCCCACTGACACCAATGATCGGGGGCACTATTCCTCCCACTGACAATACCCAATGATGGGGCACTAATCATTCCCACTGACACCAATGATGGGGCACTATTCCACCTCCCACTGACACCAATTGATGGGAACACTATTCCTCCCACTGACACCAATTGATGGGGCAACTATTCCATGACGATCCCACTGACTCACCAATGATGGGGCACTATTCCTCCCCACTGATTACCTCCTCCACTGACAATTACCAACCCACTGATGGGGCCACTTGACACCATGATGGGGCAGTATTCTCCACTGACACCAGATGATGGGCACATAATCCTCCCACTGACAACCAATGATGGGGCACAATTCCTGCCCACCTGACACCAAAGATGGGCTCTAATTTTTTTCACTGACACCCATGAATGATGGCACTTCTTCTTCCTCGCTACAGAACAGTCAACCCTCGATGCCATGTTTATACACCCTGATGCAGGGTGTGGTGAATCAATTTTACAACCTCCACAGACAGACCACAATCCTCCAGCTTCCCTAATGGTATGAAGGATAGTAAAAGTGCCCTTTGTTTTGAACAGTTTGGAGACCCCGGTGGGTCTAGGGGATGGCTTTATAAGATGTGTTGTGCTTTTGGAACTTGTAACTGGAGAAGGGTTTGGGGTGGGTGGTGGGATGTGGGTTGGGGTGGGTTGGGATGGGTAGGGTGGGTTGGTGGTGGGTTGGCTTGGATGGGGGTAGAGGTGGGTTGGGATAGGTAGAGGTGGTGGGGTGGGATGGATGGTGTTAGGGGTGGGGTGGGTTGGGATTACTCCTAGTTCCAGAAATAGCCCCCCTCCCCCTGCTCTGCTATAGATGGGACCTTGATGACCATTAGCAACCCCCCCCCCCCCCCCCCCGGGGCTGGGAACTTCTCAAGCAGGAGGAGAACTGGGCTGCTCCAGACTACTTATGTTCCCTGGGCCTGGTGACTCACTTGGAGGGTGCACTGAAACTGGGAACATGCTTGCAGTGTTGTCAGGTTGGCTCAGGAGAGTCTGTATGGGGTCTGCTGCTGTATCTGGGACCCCCTAACCCTCACCTCCTTCTCTTTTCTGATGTAAAAAGTGACTGGCGCCTGATACCCTTTCCTGCCCCCCCTCCAATATAGCCATGGACCACTCGCTTGCCCTGGCCTCTAGAGGTGCTATCCTGCCTTTGGGGTGTCAGAGGGGAGCAATGATAATCCCCCTTCCTATCTATTTACTAATAGTAGCAGCACAAGGAGTACAAATCGGTGACATTGAGGAACGGCTTGCTGACCGCGCTATAGATGAATGACGGCTACAGTGTGGATGTCTAGTTGTGGGAGGGCATCATATGACGTCCTCCCAGAATGCCCCTTCCCGCGTTCCCCCAGGGGCGTGTATCCCGCAATCTCCATGATCTATGTGTCCTACGGACACAGCTGATTACGTGACGTGGTAAAAGGACAATCACAGCAGCCAATCACAGCGGCCTTTTACCACGTGATCAGCCGTGTCCAATGACACAAGAGATCACCGGGTAAATGCTGTTGCCGGTTATCGGCTGCACATTCTACGCACTGTCACTGCGTCAGGAAAGTACTGCCGAGAACTGGCAGTTATCAGAGGAGGGATCGGCACTGATGATCAGTGCCCACCAGTGCCACCCACCAGTGCCGCCCACCTGTGTCCAGTAGTGCCGCCCACCTATGTCCATCAGTGCCACCCACCTGTGCCCAACAGTGCCACCCATCAGTGCCCAGCTCTATGTCTCTGAAACAAATGATTAAAATGTCATATGGGTGCAGTGTCGCATGACCGTGCAATTGTCATTCAAAGTGCGACAGCGCTGAAAGCTGAAAACTGGCCTGGGGGCAGGAAGGGGGTAGAAGTGCCCTGTAGGCAGGAAGGGGGTAGAAGTGCCCGGTAGGCAGGAAGGGGGTAGAAGTGCCCGGTAGGCAGGAAGGGGGTAGAAGTGTCCTGTAGGCAGGAAGGGGGTAGAAGTGCCCGGTAGGCAGGAAGGGGGTAGAAGTGCCCGGTAGGCAGGAAGGGGGTAGAAGTGCCCAGTAGGCAGGAAGGGGGTAGAAGTGCCCGGTAGGCTGGAAGGGGGTAGAAGTGCCCGGTAGGCAGGAAGGGGGTAGAAGTGCCCAGTAGGCAGGAAGGGGGTAGAAGTGCCCGGTAGGCTGGAAGGAGGTAGAAGTGCCCGGTAGGCAGGAAGGGGGTAGAAGTGCCCAGTAGGCAGGAAGGGGGTAGAAGTGCCCGGTAGGCTGGAAGGAGGTAGAAGTGCCCTGTAGGCAGGAAGGGGGGTAGAAGTGCCCTGTAGGCAGGAAGGAGGTAGAAGTGCCCGGTAGGCAGGAAGGGGGTAGAAGTGTCCGGTAGGCAGGAAGGGGGTAGAAGTGCCCGGTAGGCAGGAAGGGGGTAGAAGTGCTCGGTAGGCAGGAAGGGAGTAGAAGTGCCCTGTAGGCAGGAAGGGGGTAGAAGTGCCCGGTAGGCAGGAAGGGGGGTAGAAGTGCCCTGTAGGCAGGAAGGGGGTAGAAGTGTCCGTTAGGCAGGAAGGGGGTACAAGTGCCCAGTAGGCAGGAAGGGGGTAGAAGTGCCCGGTAGGCAGGAAGGGGGTAGAAGTGCCCGGTAGGCTGGAAGGAGGTAGAAGTACCCGGTGGGCAGGAAGGAGGTAGAAGTGTCCTGTAGGCAGGAAGGGGGTAGAAGTGCCCAGTAGGCAGGAAGGGGGTAGAAGTGCCCGGTAGGCAGGAAGGAGGTAGAAGTGCCCGGTAGGCAGGAAGGAGGTAGAAGTGTCCGTTAGGCAGGAAGGGGTAGAAGTGCCCTGTAGGCAGGAAGGGGGTAGAAGTGCCCGGTAGGCAGGAAGGAGGTAGAAGTGCCCGGGAGGCAGGAAGGGGGTAGAAGTGCCCTGTAGGCAGGAAGGGGGTAGAAGTGCCCTGTAGGCAGGAAGGGGGTAGAAGTGTCCTGTAGGCAGGAAGGGGGTAGAAGTGCCCAGTAGGCAGGAAGGGGGTGACAGTGCCCGGGAGGAAGGAAGGGGGTGACGGTGCCCAGGAGGCAGGAAGGGGGTGACAGTGCCCGGGGGGCAGGAAGGGGGTGACAGTGCCCGGGAGGCAGGAAGGGGGTGACGGTGCCCGGGGAGGAAGGAAGGGGGTGACGGTGCCCAGGAGGCAGGAAGGGGGTGACAGTGCCCGGGGGGCAGGAAGGGGGTGACAGTGCCCGGGAGGCAGGGAGAGGGTGACAGTGCCCGGGAGGCAGGAAGGGGGGGACAGTGCCCAGGAGGCAGGAAGGGGGTGACAGTGCCCGGGAGGCAGGAGGGGGGTGACAGTGCCCGGGGGGCAGGGAGAGGGTGACAGTGCCCAGGAGGTGAGGGGTTAAATATCCAGAAATGTTGGAATCATCATCAGTTTTACCTTTTTGCGGTTATATTCGATGCTTTTCTCATAGTTGAATCAGAATTGCAAATAGTAATTGTCTCGTATTGTAGCCAGGAGGTTCAGATTCGCGTTTCATGTATTTATTTATTCTTTCCTTTTTCTTTCCTTTTGATTTCTCTATTCATATTAAACAATAGACGCGATGTTCTGCGGAACATTCGGCTTGTTTACCTCGTAATTCACGCAATTCTCCAGCGAGCGAAACCCCCCCTCCCCCCATAGATGTTCTATAATATTCAGCGTGATAATGGGAGAGAGGCGCATCCGGCACAGGAGACATCGCATAGAACACGCCCGCTCTTTGTTCTTCTCACCCCCTACGCCTTGGTTTTGGAGAAATTTGGTTTAAAAAAAAAAAATTAATTCTCCAAATCTTTCAGTTGTGATATTGTAGGAAATCTTTTACGTAAAAAAAAAATGTCAGTCGTGCCGCAGTAGGTTCTATATATTCTATACATTGTCCAGATGTGTTTGACGTCCTCCTCCCGCCTGCCGTATACTGAAATGTTCTCTCCTTCTCACTGCGCATGCGTGGCGATCGGTGGTGCATGTCCCAGGGACATCTCTCAGAGGGGACTTCTACACTGATCATCAGGGCACTGGTGATCAGTGTAGCCTCATCAGTGCCCCCTGTCAGTGCCCATCAATGCCACATATCAGTGCCAATCAGTGCCCATCATTGCCACATACCAGTGCCCATCAGTGCCCATCAATGCCACATATCATTGCCCATCAGTGCCCATCAATGCCACATACCAGTGCCCATCATTGACCATCAATGCCACATACCAGTGCCCATCAGTGCCACATACCAGTGCCCATCAGTGCCACATATCAGTGCCCATCAGTGCCACATATCAGTGCCCATCAATGCCACATACCAGTGTCTATCAATGCCACATACCAGTGCCCATCAGTGTCCATCAATGCCACATACCAGTGCCCATCAATGCCACATACCAGAGCCTATCAGTGCACATCAATGCAACATACAGTGCCCATCAGAGCTTCCTTTCAGTGCAAACTATCAGTACCCATCAGTGCCGCCTATTAGTGCCAGTCAGTGCCTCCAATCAGTGCCAGACAGTGCTCCCTATCAGTGCCAGACAGTGCCGCCTATCAGTGTCATATATGAGTGCTGCTTTTCAGTGCCCATCAGCGATGCCTGTCAATGCCCATAAGTGCCTCCTCATCAGTGCCGCCTATCAGTGCCCATCACTGCAGCCTCAGTAGCGCACATCAGTGAAGGAGAAAAATTACTTAATTGCAACATATTATAACAGAAACTCAGGAAAAAAAATTTTTTTCAACATTTTCAGTCTTTTTTAGTTTGTTTAGCAAAAAATAAATCAGTAAATAACCCCCCCCCCCCCCAGTGGTGATTAAATCCCACCAAAAGCTCTGTCTCAAAAAAATGATAAGAATTTTGTTTGGGTACAGTGTTGCATGACCGCGCAATTGTCATTCAAAGTGCGACAGCGCTGAAAGCTGAAAATTGGCCTGGGCAGCAAGGGCGTGACAGTGCCTGGTGGGCAGGAAGGGGGTAGAAATGCCCGGTAGGCAGGAAGGGGGTAGAAGTGCCCTGTAGGCAGGAAGGGGGTAGAAGTGCCCGGTGGGCAGGAAGGGGGTAGAAGTGTCCTGTAGGCAGGAAGGGGGTAGAAGTGCCCGGTGGGAAGGAAGGGGGTAGAAGTGCCCAGTAGGCAGGAAAGGGGTAGAAGTGCCTTGTAGGCAGGAAGGGGGTAGAAGTGCCGGTAGGCAGGAAGGGGGGGACAATGACCGGTAGGCAGGAAGGGGGTGACAGTGCCCGGTAGGCAGGAAGGGGGTAGAAGTGCCCGGTGGGCAGAAGTGCCTGGTGGGCAGGAAGGGGGTGACAGTGCCCGGTAGGCAGGAAGGGGGTGACAGTGCCCGGTAGGCAGGAAGGGGGTAGAAGTGCCCTGTAGGCAGGAAGGGGGTAGAAGTGCCCTGTAGGCAGGAAGGGGGTAGAAGTGCCCCGTAGGCAGGAAGGGGGTAGAAGTGCCCGGTGGGCAGGGAGGGGGTAGAAGTGTCCTGTAGGCAGGAAGGGGGTAGAAGTGCCCGGTAGGCAGGAAGGGGGTAGATGTGTCCTGTAGGCAGGAAGGGGGT